CTTCTTTTCCCATCCCTTCCCTTCCTTTCCCTTCCCCTTTTCCCTCCTCTCCTCTCCCCTCCTCTCCTCCCTTCTCCTCTCCTCTCCTTTTTCCTCCTTCTGTACAACCTCCCTCTCCTACTCATTCACTTCTTTCCCATTTTGGAACATTTTATATTTTAATGATTACTCTAAATCAACCTACACTATTTCCAGTTACCAAATAGTACTGCCAGACATATGTATTATAGTAAAGATTATTGAGTCTGTGGCCTAGAAGGCTTTAGGAGACCTTGATCTTCTTCTCTCCTCTCCTTTTCCCTCCTCCTGTACAGCCTTCCTCTCCTACTCATTCACTTCTTTCCCATTCTGGAACATTTTATATTTTAATGATTACTCTAAACCAACCTACACTATTTCCAGTTACCAAATAGTACTGCCAGACATATGTATTACACTTCCCTTCCCTTCCTTTCCCTTCCCTTCCCTTCTTTTCCCTTCCCTTCCCTTCCTTTCCCTTCCCCTTTTCCCTCCTCTCCTCTCCCCTCCTCTCCTCTCTTCTTCTCTCCTCTCCTTTTCCCTCCTCCTGTACAGCCTTCCTCTCCTACTCATTCACTTCTTTCCCCTTCTGAAAAACATTTTATATTTTAATGATTACTCTAAATCAACCTACACTATTTCCAGTTACCAAATAGTACTGCCAGACATATGTATTATAGTAAAGATTATTGAGTCTGTGGCCTAGAAGGCTTTAGGAGACCTTGAAATAGAATCTTATTCATTCACCCATTTGGGTGAATTTTAATTCATATTTGACCTAATTCCTTTCTATTAGCTACCATTGCCAGCACCTTGATATCCACAGCTCACTCTTCATGTCATAGATTCTCCACTAATTATTTAAACTGATCAGAGACAGAAAATATATGGAAGTAGTTACAATTTTGTCATGTGATGTTTTGATACCATTCTGACAATAAGGTTTGCTTTGAGTCAGTGGGTGGAGCTAGCCACTAGCTGACCAAAATTAACCACAGAGGTTTTGGGGGACTGAGGACAGATAGGAGACTGTAGTGAGGTGGGGATTAGAAAGGACGGGGAAACAGAAGAGATAGGAGTTAATTGGTGTCTCCTCTGCTTCTCTGATAATTCAGGTTCTACCCCAATACCTGACTCTGATTTTTTATTGATAAGGAATAATTAGGTGAAAGATTTACCTGGGGGATACTTCACAATTGTCCTGGCCAGGGATATTCTGTTTTTCTCCAAATGAAAAAGACTGAGAACAGTCTTTAGATAGTATTTGCCCTGTCTTGTGAATAGAAAATCATCTGGAGTTGATTTTAAGTGCACTGCAGAATGAGCAAATTATTCCCATTTTATATGCACAACTTGAGTATCTGCAGATGTGTCTCTGCTAGGTTGAACTAGAACCAATGATCCATACATATTGGTCAGTTGTAGTAGGAATTCAGCATCTGAAAAAAAAAAAAAGACGTAAATTGGGCTTTCCTTAGTTTTATTTGGATGACTGCTTTACTGGGCACATTTGATATAGGTTAGTAAGGTTGATGATTTCCATTTTTTCTGTAACCCTAACATGATTTATTTGTTCTTTATTTGTTCTTAAAAGTTTTTTTTTAATGACCACCCATTTAATTCATTGAGTACAGAGTAAATTATGTGGTGGTTCCTGGGAATAATAAAGTGACCCAAATAAATACAATTTTACTTTGTTAAGCCTCTGTGAAGCTAAGAACTAAGCTGCCAAGCATATTATCATACGTTAATTATAAATCAAAGATAGCTGTATGTAAAGGAATGCCTAACCTGCTCTGAGATCCTGGAACCTCCCTGAAAAGGTAACAATTAAGAGAATGAAGAAGGGTTGGTTGCTAGCTGGATGAAGACGGGAAAAAGACCTCCTCGAAAGCAGTAAAACCATCTCATTAAAAAACAAAGTCCTAGTCAGTGCGCCCAGCCCACATTCTGCCAATCATAGCTGTGAATTATACCCGACATAAATATAAAACATTAGGAGCATTTTGTTTTCTTTTTGTTATTCAACTGTGTATTTCTCAAGCATGGGTTTGTAGAAGAAATCTGTGTGCAAGTTAAAAGGCTCACCAGCCATAGTGGAAGAGGCTATTTTTGCCACTTTAAGGCTTGAGAATGGCTCATAGGCAGTAGAGTCAAAGGAGAGGGGAAAAGAGAGAGTTTAAGTATCTATGTTATGCCAAAATTCAACCATAGGCGTCAGTGTTTAACACCTGTATGGAGATAGATCTGGTGTATTTACAATATATAATTTCCAATGCTTTGCAATGTGTATTCATGCCTGTGAGAATGTCAACACGAAAAGTTAAAGGAAGGATTTGGTGCCTCTAGAGGTTCCTCGGCATCTCTAAGTTCTCTGACCCCTTGCCTGCCACTCCTATTTCCATCCAGGATTGCTCTGCTCTGCTCACAACAGATCTGGGACATGAGCATTTATTAAATGACTGAAGGTGATGTCTGTCTGAAAAGAAGGCTCTTGGTCTGATGTTTTTCCATTCCATCTTCCCAAGGTATGCAGCGCTATTCAAAATCAGGACTTCACTGTGATTGAAGATTACTGCACTGGCCTCAAAGCCTTGCTTTATCTGAAGAGCATTGAAGAGTTAGCAGACTGGGATGGGCAGAGTCCAGCCATTATGAGTCATCAGAAAGGGAAACCAGTTCCACGTATTGCTGAGCTCACAGGACAGGTATGTGCTAGTCTGTTCTTGTGTTGACCATGGAGAACTCTGCTTGGGTTCATTTCTCTTTCAGGTCATTTGCTTTGCCATGCCTCCCCTAGGTACTGAAGACAGTGCCTCTTTGAGGTTGATTTTTTTTTTTTTTTTTTTTTTTTTTGCAGTAGAATCATTCTGAAGCAGGCTTGATTATGGCTATACAAGAGATCTCTGAGTTACCTTCTGATAAAACACAAGGTCATATAAAAGAAAAAGATTGGAGTTTGTAGTGTGAAGTACCTATAAATTCTCACTGACAATACTGATGGCTAGTATTATTTCCAGTGGGGAGCTGGGAATTTCATTATTTTTTTTTAACAAACTCTGGAGACTATAACATTGCCTTTCTATTTTCAAGACAATCAAATCACTGGAGTCCTGAATAACATGATGCCATTTTAAAATTAAAATCTAATCAGTATCTTTTGTAACTGCCTCTGCCGTGTGGTTAAACCTGGCCTCCAAAGGTTGCAGCCTAACTTTCCCTCTAACTGCTGTTTGCTGAGAAATATACACTACATTTACATTTTGTATAATACAGTGATTTGAGCAACTCTTTTCTAAAACAACCTTCAGCATTTCGCCTTTGTGTTGCCTTTGTATTATTCTAAATAGACAACTATTGTCAGAAGATATTTCTTGAGTCCTGAATGAGGGGAGAAAAAATTATAATTCTTAGTCTTTTCAGCTTGTCACTACATCAATAATTAACTTTAAAAAAGAGAGAGAGGCAGTATGAAAAGATTCTTTAAGGAAGCATTTAATAATTCACATGAGTTTTAACTTGAAACAGGTCACATGAAAAAGAATGGAAAACAAAAACCCTGGGTGTGCCACCTTGGATGATGGTGAGAGGCTCAGCAAGACTGAGGAATACAACATGTAACTGGGCAGTGTTCTTGAGAAATATCACTGTCCTTAGCCTAACAGATAGCCAAAAATAAAGAATTGTCGAAGAATGATATGTGTGATTGCAAGTTTAGTAATGAGAAAGAGGGAACGAAATAAAATCTACAAAGTGGGTTCCAGGAAAATATCATGATGAATGACTCCATGAGTGGCAATCAAACAGAAAGGCTGTGACATTAATATTTATAATATTGTAATTAGAAGACAGTGCCTAAGCAGCATTATTAGTGTAACTAATCATATTATCATAGACTGAGTCTTCAGTATTCAGAGAGTGTTCTTGCCTTTATCAATGATCAGCAATACCCTAAGGATGTTTATAAGTAAAAACTCATAGATGACATTACACATATTCAATGTAAAAATATCTATCTAAAAGAAATTGTTTCTGACATGGTAGTTTATGGCCATCTATAAACTTGGGTATGTGTCATGTGAGCTGAAATGTAGGCAGCCTTTCTTTTCTATGCTGTTCTGTCTTTTAACGGGCATTCACCCTCGTCACTCTATTTCCATATTCAAAGGAATGATGGATCAGGAAGAGGACATCTGTGTCTGTGACATAAATGGAAATAGATTTTCTAATAGTTTAGATAGAGATTTGGACTTTATTTTGGTAAGCCCAGCATTCAGCAAGATCATTAGTATAATTTTCAACATTATCAATTATTCAAAAAAATTGCAAATCATTTCTCAAATATAAAATGAGAAACAAGAGGATGGTCTAGTAATAGACCCTGGGTTCTCTGGTGCAAACTAGTATGACTAAAACAATAAGAGACATCCCCTGTATGTTAACGTCCTGACTCATGAATCTAAGTACTCTGGGCTCACCCATTTCAGCCGGCTTCCTGTCTCTTTCTCCTTAATGGTGTGTGTGTGTGTGTGTGTGTGTGTGGTGTGTGTGTAAGCAACTTGTTAAAATATTGCAACATGCTATTTAAGACACCTTACCTTACAGTGTTCCCATGCCATAGGAAAAATGAGAAAATGTATAGATCCTGCTCAGAAAAATATACCAGAATTAGCTAAGTCTCATTTGAAAAGTACAAACTATATCCCCCTTAAACTATCTCTTTCATAAACCATGCTAGATTGAACTAAAAGCACACTCTGAAAAGGAAAGAGAACAACTGTAATGCAGAGTTTGATAATGGAAAACGTGAAGCTGTGATACCTTAGCTAGGCAAAGAATTTTGCTAAGTGAGGTGTGCTACTTTTTCAAGGCATTGGTAAATTCGGTGTTAGTATTTGGCATCTGGGGGCGTGGGAATTAAGAAAAATGATGTCATTATTTGAGGGGAACCATGAAAGAAACTGGACAGTCTAATAATTGAGCAGCAAAGACTGTGACCAGAAATTCACAGAACTAAATATCCTTGCTGTTCATTGCTGGAGAGAGGAACAGGACTACTGAGCAAGCCCTAATGTGCCAGGCAAGGGAAGCAGTTAACGGACACAGCTCCAGCATAGTCCAGGCTCTGTGCATCTCACTTGCTGTTCCCTGCCTCTGGAACAGCTTTGCAGTCCTACAGGGAAAACTGTGGATCAGTATGTGGCTCTCAACTACTGCCTACTGCCCCAGCACCATGTGTGGGCCATGCTCCTGGCAGGATTATGGAGTAGATCTCTGAAATTGTAAACAAGTCCCCAGTTAAATGCTTTTTTTTTTGGCTTGTTTTTTGTTGTTTTTGTTGTTGTTGTTGTTGTTGTTGTTGTTGTTGTTTTGGTTTTTTTTGTTTTTTGTTTTTTGTTTTTTTGTTGTTGTTGTTGTTGTTTTGGTTTTTTTTTGTGTGTGTGTGTGTAACAGGTCCTTGGCCTGGGTTCTCTTCAAAGCACTAGAACATTGAAAAGACATTGAGTGTGAATACAGTTAGAGCAACCAGTTTCCTGCTTCTTTCCCCATGCCTTCCCTGCCATGACAGAGTGTACCCTTCTAATACCATCTACCAAAATAAGCCTTTTCTCATTTAAGTTTCTATAGCCAGGGTATTTCAATCACAGCAATGAAAAGTTAATGAAGGCAAACCTGTAAGCCCCATTTTATGAGTCTACTTTAATAAAATGAGATGGAAACGAGCCAGAAGAAATAATGGAGTAGGGTAGTAAGCAACTGTTATGCTTTCTTGGCTTGGTAAATGTGTCAAAGTTATGATAAACATATTGAAGGCCCAGATCTATATACCAGTGTCTATAACAGTGTCCACAATGTAGGAATGCTTGTCTTAGTTGGGATTTCTATTGCTGTGAAGAAACACCATGACCACAGCAACTCTTATAAAGGAAAACATTTAATTGGGGCTGGCTTACAGATTCAGTGTTTTAGTTCATTATCATCATGGCAGGAAGCATGACAATATGCAAACGGACATGGTGCTGGAGAAGTAGCTGATGGTTCTCTATCTATATAGGTAGGGAGCTTGAAGAGAGAGACACTGGGCCAAGCTGAAGCATTTGAAACCCCATAGCCATGCCCAGTAGCAACTTCCTCTACCAAGGTCACACCTCCTAATAGTGCCTTTCCCTACAAACCCATGAGGACTGTTTTTATTCAAATTACCACAGTGATTCAATTGCTGGATGAATACAATGATCACTCACTTATTTTAATATATACCTTGAGTTTCATTTTCTTCATGAAGCCATTTAAGGATTACCTTCCTCAATGGGAAAATCAAATCACTTCCTCTGTCCTTCTGCAGACCTTTGCTCATACAATTAGCAAGCTTAGCATATCCTCTCCTCCTCTTGTGTCTCCTCGTCCATTGCTGCAACTCATTATAAGCACTTTAAAACTGTATACAAGATCTGCTTTTTCCATGAGTTTCCAAGCACCTAGAGCAATGCTACATGTTTATAGAATTAAACTACACAAATTATCTGTGGTATTCTTATTTAGAAGAAAAAGAGAAAGCCAATTTGTAATTAAAATTCCAGCTTGGTCTTTCAGGAATAGCAGGCATTTATAAGGAAAAAGTAAACGTGCCAAATTACTTTCAGCAGGTATTAAAGCATGATGAAATACATATCAGAGATATTAATAAGTGAACCTAATCTGTGCTCATTAAGGAGCTCTCATTAGGATGAGATCAGAAATGCTGCCGTGGAACCTGTAGAGCAGCTTTGAGGGCGAGGCTTTGTTTTGAAGGTAGACACCAAAGAAGGAGGCAGCTGGCCACCTGTATCCTTCTGTTGTTTTAAAATCAAAAGTAACATGCTATGATGTGGACTCACGAGGGTCATCCCCTTGGCGAATTCCATGGCAGGTGAGGTACAAACACTCCATGAAGACAGAACTTATGTAGGAAGTTTTATTGGGGAGAGAGAGAGAGAGAGAGAGAGAGAGAGAGAGAGAGAGAAACAAAGACCTGCCTGGCTCTTCAGAGGAACAGTGGAAAAGAGACAGCTGTACTGAGAAAAACTTGTCTCTTAAAGGGACCTTTTGCACCTGTGTACAGAAACAGTGTACTGCTACTGCCTGCCATGCATACAGGGATGATGCACAGGTCCCAAAGGATGCTAACATAACACAGATAACATAGTGCCAGACCGTCATGAGGAGGGTCTGGTTATTTTATATGGTGATGACTGTCAGGTTTTCAGAGAGAGAAAGATTATATATATATATATATATATATATATAGATAGATAGATAGATAGATAGATAGTAACAAACAAAAGACAATACTGTTTCCTAAATTGTGGCTTTCAAGTTTGGACTGTGATTGTAGCTCAGTGGGAAAGGGCTTGTGTAGTGACTACAAACCCCTTTATTCAATCCTTAGCATTAACAAATATATTTGCTTTATTTATCTTATTTTCTTTTATATCTATTTTCTCCCACTAGCATAGAATTTTCATTAAAAAAGACAGATTTTAAATGGAGTATTTGATAAATGAATAGATACATTTATCATGACCCTGATTCAACTAAAGTGTATATTATAACCACACCCAGGGATGTCCGTATGTGCTCCCCAGTCATCATCTCTTCCCCACCTCCACCAGAAACAAACACCATCTAGTTTCTATGCACCAAGATTAGTTTGTTCATGTTCTTTTCC